TTTATTTATTTTTATTTATTTTTTTATTTAGAGAGCCACAAGGGTGAGCGATGATAATTTATTAGGATAATCATCTAAGCAATCCCTCACTTTCAAGTCAGATGTTATTATGGCTCTTCTTCAATACGAGCTGTAAATACTAAATACGTTCTTTCACCTTATTTTTGCTAAATAAAGTCAATTTTAATGAACTAAATTATTTTCACTCAACATAAACCTTTATTTTACTGATCTAATACTCTATTATACTTATTTTTTAGAGTTGATGATTACTTTTACTAAACTAAAACTATTTTTACTGATAACCTATCATCTTTGTTTTTTAAAGTTACTAGTTTTAACTGAATTAAAATTTTGCTAAACTGAAATGATTTTAATGAACCTTAAATTTCATTTTTTTTAATATCATTATTTTAAGGTGAAGTGAAGTAGAGAACAATGTCTTACACTTACCAAATGAAATACTTTTTTTTTTTTTTAACACGTGTTACACTTTTATTATTTTTTTGGCAAGCTACCCCATTTTAATTTATATACTAAAGGGTTTTTCTACATTATGACCCTGTTTTTTCGCTTTTTCTACGTTGTGACATGCCTTTTTTGATTTTCTACGCTGTAACCCTAAATTACCAAACGTTTCTACGTTGTGACCCTGCCGTTAAGTTGACGTTAGTGTCTTCCGTTAAGTCAAATTAACCCTAATGATGTTAGGCTGTTAGGCTGCCTCCCTCCTTTCTTCTTCTATTTTTTTTCTATCTATTTTTTTTTTTTTTTTTGTTTTTGCTTTTTCCACCTAAATTGACTGCCAAACACTTATACATATACATAATAAACATAAAACTCATATATTCATAGAAATTCTGTAATTTTACATTTGAAAAAATATGAAAAAAAATATCAGCAAGGGCTCATCCAGGGGCTTCAATTGCAGGCTATCAGCACCAGATGCCAACTTGCAGAGCCTTTTGTATCCATTTAAATGAACTTTTCATCAAAGGATTTCCGTTCGTAAGGTAATTAAGACATATGTCAGGCTATGCATTTGCTTATATCTGAGATACTAAATAGCCTAAAAAGGTGAATTCTTCATTTAAAAAATTAATAAAAAAAGTCACTCTCTACATCTAAGAAATAGTCTATCATCAATCACCACCTCTTGTTTAACTTGTTGAATAGAACCATCAGCAATCTGAAGCCAAAAGTAAGTCTTCATCATCTGAACATATATTGGAGCAAGTAAACTGTCAAGATTTCCATGAAATTCATCATGATGAAAAACAGAAATGTCAGTGGAAGACCAGCACAAAATAAGAAACGATTCTATGTTTCAGTGGGGCAAAAAATTCAACTAAGCACATTCCATTTTAAACAAATTTAACCAGTATCACACAGCCTAGGCATTGTTCTTGAAATACTCAATTATCATAAAAGGATGATTTACAATATTTTTGTAAGAAAATAGCCAAGCTGATTACATGAATCATCCTAAGTTCCGTGAGCAAATTACAATGAATTTAAGACAATGAGTGGACAGTGGAGACTACAATGACACTGGTGGATACAATGAATAAAGGATAAAGTAGCCATTGCCATTTATGATTGAAGTCATTGAACCCTTTTGATTAAGTAGTTCTTTAGAACTTGTTAAATCAAAAACTGAAAATATAATTTTGAAAAAGTGACGCACCTAAACACAGGTATACAAAGCTCAAATGACTTGACAACTTGGCCATGCTCTAAAGTTCCAATCACATAGTCATAGGCCTCATAGCCACCCTACAAGCAAAGATAAAGGCATTCAATTACGATGAAACAAAAGAACAAATAAGCTTCCACAACTCTTCAAACAATTAGAAGCATAACAAAGTCCTGCACTTTGAAAATTGAGATCTTATTGCTCATTTTGAGATGTGTCGATGAGATACATAAATACTTTTTATCTTGTATCATTCAAAAGTTAGCACCCAAACAATCAGAGATATAGAGCGGGATTCTCAGGTCAGAGATGATTAAATGAATAGTTGCAGAAAATAGTTGAAAGAGGTCAGACTATATGTCAAGATCTTGCATCAAATGTAATCTCAAGTCTCAACTTGATACTTGCAAAAAACATATGAGAATTTAAGTCAACTCAATATTACCACCAACTCTTGTGCGAATAACATCATGCATCATCTAAAGAGTTGTGCAACGAAGACTTATTTAATAGATCATATCAAGATCCTATTTCCAGACACCATGTATGCATGACAAAACTATATTGCCCCTGACCACCACAATCAATCCACATATGCATTCAAATTGGCAATTAGAAAGCAGAAGTTAGATGGTGAAACTTAAATTGGCAAGGCAGAAGCTGCAGCAGCCTTTGGCAAGGCAGCAACAGCCTTGCGAGGCCAGCAGGAGAAGGAAGGGAGTGACGTAGGGAGTAGTACAAAAACATTCATTAAACTAACATAATCAAATCCATAATTATAATTAGCCAATATTTCTTCCCATAAACAAACAAATTAAACCTTAATCAAACCAAGAACTAACAAACAAACCCAGAATTATAACAAGACTACCAACAAGAATTTAACCAGAATTAAATATTACTGTAAAAGACCCCAGAATCATAAATTAATCAAACCATAAGCAATCAAGAATCAATAACCCAAAATTAATCAAAATATACCCAGAAAAATACATAAGTGATCAAAATAACCCAGAAAAACACACAAGTAATCAAAATCAACCCAGAAAAATACACAAATAATCAAAATTAACCCAGAAAATCCACAATTAATTTATCAAAAAAAAACCCAGAATCACAAACAAGCTAATCATATGAGTAGACACACAATTAATCAAAATCAACCAAACTAATCAAAATCAGTCAAACAGGAAGAAGAAGAAAGGAGGGAGGCAGCCTAACATCGTTAGGGTTAATTTGACTTAACGGAAGACACTAACGTCAACTTAACGGCAGGGTCACAACGTAGAAACGTTTGGTAATTTAGGGTTATAGCGTAGAAAATCAAAAAAGGCATGTCACAACGTAGAAAAAGCGAAAAAACAGGGTCATAATGTAGAAAAACCCTATATTAAATCTCTCTTTTCTTATGGTTCACACTTAAACCTTTTTTTTTTTTTCCTCCTGTAAACCAACTTAAACTTAATATATATACTACTTTTTTTTTTATATATATAATTATTTCTTTCCCTCTCACATCCCTTAATTTTCAATAAAATATTAACCCGCTATTATTTCTTAAATTTTTTACATTCTTCAACAAACTTACTTACATCTTTACATTTATTTATACATAGTATAAAAATTAATGTAGCTAAAATTATATGTCAATTAAAATGTACTCCGTAATACTTAACAAAAAAAAAAAAAATAGAAGAAAAAAAAAGAAAAAAAAAAGAAAAGGAGGATTATTAAATTTAGACAGCCTTAAAAGAAACTACTCCGTATTATTTTGACTTTTGAGTGTAACCAACCTCAAAAGGATCTTCAGTTAAATTTTTTAAAAAAAAAAATCTATACATACAGGTCATACACTTTAGAAAAGTATGATTGTATGAAGCCTTATAGTTACGGACTTACGGTTCATATGAACAAATTTTTGTGGTGTTAATGTGTTAATACAACAATGCCCCATCATTACTGAAATTCCAATTATGCCCTTCTCTTATTTTTCATTTTCTTGCTTTCACTCTCAATCATCAACTGCTCACCATCACTCATTTCTTCTCTATCTCTCTCCTCACTATCGCTATATTTTTCCATTGAAGCGTGCTCCTCGGTTTCCGAAAGGATTGATCGAAAACGGGTGACGATCTCGAAAATGGTGTTGGTGCTTGTTTTACAATGGTTTTTATCGAGGTAATCGAACTTGAACGCCCTACCGATCCTGGTCCGCTTCATTTCCTTTTGTTTTTTTTCTTCTTCAAGTTTAAACATTGATTTTGTTCATTCTTAATGTCTAATTGAGGTGGCTAATTGGGATTTTTAGGGAGTAAATTGAAAATTGATGCGTTTAATTCACCAATCAAGAACAAATTAAGGTTTATTTTTTCAAAGTTCGCAACATGAAACAAACATCTAGGTGTTCTATTTTGTTCTTTAAAACTATAATTCTTTGCTGTTTATTTTCTCATGAATTAAAAAACATAAGATAATTTTTGTATATATGCATACTAATTTAGTGGAATTGTGATTTCTGTATTGTTTGTACTTTAGTGGAGAAAGTTAGGAGATTTATGGAGCAAATGGAGTTTGAAATACTCCATACTATGTCAATGATATGTATGTTGGTATTCAGCTCTACATTTAATGGGTAACATAATAACATTTATTTTTTTGACTGGTTGATTTTGTGGTAAATTATTTGTGACTTGATTCTTGGTGACTATGTAAAACTATCTAGCTTCTGAAATCTTAGTTAAGCTAGATAACGATTTGCAAAAAAAAAAAAAAAAAAAAAAAAAATAAAAATAAAAAAAAAAAATAAAAAAAATAAAATAAAATTCAGTACATATCAATATGTTATTTAAAAAAAAAAAGAAAAAAAAACATATGAAACATAACATCAATAATACAGTCTTTTTAAGTTGTCCTAAATATAATATAATCATCTTATTTTTAGAAAATCGTTCAAAAGATTATATTATTTTTGACAATTTTTTTCAAAAAAAAAATATTTACTGGATATTATATGTTGAACGTGGTTCATGTATGGGGTTAGAGGCTTAAACAGAGGAGCTACTCTGATTTAGGCTGAAAAATCAGCATTTAATTTCTCTAATTTTTTGTTTTTATAAAATAATTTTTTTATGAGCATTGATTTTTTAAGGACCTTACTGGATTCTGTGCTGAATCCAAGGAGTTAAATGTGGATTAACTCGTCGGAAATTAACAGCATGTCCAACAAGGTCTGTAAAAATGTGCCTTGTTATACTCTGTATGCAATTATGCATTCTAAACTTAAACGAGTAGAAAGTTTAAATACTAGAAAAAAGGAGAAATTATACAACAAATCAAACAACTGAATGGCTATCAAAGTTAACTGCATCTCATATCTCACTAATTGTGTCTTCATTAAGTACATGTCTTTAATAGCCAGAGTAAATCACCTGGGAAGCATCTCACTAACGGTGATTTGATTTTGATCATACAATGGTTTTGACTCACTAGTATTGCTTGTTGATGTCGTTGATTGTACACTTAATCTTGACAAAAGAGATGATTCAGTACTACTACTATTGTAAAAAATTCGAGGGTGTGGTGGTGTTGGCATTGTGTTGGTGGTTGTATCGTTGTTGAGCAAATGAACAACTGTTGACATGGTCGGTCTCCCATTTGTGTTCTCTTGTGCACACCATAAGCCTAGATGAATGCATCTCAACACTTCTACACTCGAGTAAGTATCCTTCAATGTCGAGTCCATGAAATCCAAGGGTTTTTCTTCATTCAAACTTCTCCAAGCCTAATACACATTTAAATTGTGGCCATATTAGGGCAAATTAAATCATGTTTCGATTTTTGATCTTAAAAAATAATATGAATTACTCTAAACTTAGGAAATAAAATAAACTCATGCTCATACTCACATAGGTCAAAAGATCTCCATCGCCTTGTTGGTGGAATTTTGTACTAATCTTCTTGCCACTTACAATCTCCAAAACCAACACACCAAAACTGTATACATCTGATTTTACGGAAAATTGTCCATGCATTGCATATTCTGGAGCCATATAACCACTACAAGAAAATATGTTATTTTGTATACATTGTTGATTAAACTTAAATAACGTGGTTAAAATCAAATTAATAGAGGAAGGCACGAACAATAAGACTTACTATGTTCCAACGACTCTGCTAGTGTCATCCACTGTTTGTTCAACCTTGAAGATTCTTGCTAAACCAAAATCTGCAATTTTTGGGTTCATATTTGCATCCAGCAAAATATTTCCAGATTTTAGGTCACGGTGGATGATTCTTGGCCGTGAGTCTTCATGAAGGTAAAGCAGTCCCCTAGCAATGCCTCTTATAACTTCGTAGCGTGTAGACCAATTTAATTCTCCTTGCTTTCGCGCATCTACATACAAGAAATATTACGAAGTAATTTTTATAATGTCCCTAATTGAAATAATATTAGGATCAAGCAATGTATCAACCATAGAGTAGATATCCCCAATTGAAATCCAAGAATGAACTTACCAAATAGGAAGTAGTTTAAGCTTTTATTGGGAACAAATTCATACACAAGTAACTTCTCTTCTCCTGCCAAGCAAAATCCCAATAGTTTAACAAGATTTCTATGTTGAAGATTGGCAATTAATACCACTTCGTTCTTAAATTCTTCCACTCCTTGGCCTGAAATCTTAGATAGCCTTTTAACTGCTATTTCTTGTCCATTTGCCAGAGTTCCCTGTGAAATAGGCAATATATATCAATTATGTATCAAAAAGAAAAAGAATTAAGAAAAAAAAAAAAAATCAATGATGATTTGATAAGTGTTAACCAGAAACAATCAAATGATAAAAGTTCTATCTTATTGTAGATGATCCAGTAGAATAAATACCAGAAACTAATTGAAAGACTCTCACAAATGTAAAAAAAAATACTTCCTCCGTTTTTAAATACTTGCAACACAGTCTTATAACACGCACTTTAAGGTTGAGATTATATAATGTAAATGACTAAATTAATCAAAATAATTTTTATACATGATGCATAACCTCTTTTAAAATTGAATTCCTAAAAGCTGAGTTGCAAGTAAAAGAAAACTGAGGAAGTATACATACTCCCTCTGTTTTTAAATACTTGCTCCACTTTCCTTTTTTGCCATTTTTAAACACTTACTCCATTTTCTTATTTGAAATCTTTTACAATATTTAATTCATTTCTCTCATGGTCTCACCTAGTGAACCCAACATAAATAATATTTTATTAATTTTATATTTTATCTCCTCTAATTTTCTCAACTACTTTTGCTTTTTACAATATTTTTATTCTTCCCCCTACCCTACTACCTCTATATTTTATTACTTTCTCCAATTTTTCCTAAAATTCCGCGTATGGAGAAATAAAGCAAGTATTTAAAAACGGACGGAGTAGTAGTGATAATACAATAAATAAAACTTGATATATAACTGTTACATTAGCATAATAAGACAAATGAAAACTTATTTTAGAGGAAGGTCACAATCGATTGATTACCTTATAGACACTACCAAAGCCTCCTTGACCAAGTATTTGGTTATTCGAAAAGTTGTTCGTAGCAGCTTCTAGTGTCTTAAGATCGAACATTAAGGATTCCACGGTTGTCAAATCTCCTAGCACTGTAACAACATATAACACAAAGCTCACTTACTTCATTACAATGGCCATTTTAAACATAGTGCATATTTGTTTGGTACGACTCTAGGAAAAGAATGAGTAATAAAAACGGTTATTTGATTATTTGTTATGTGAATTAAAGAGTATGTCAAACATGATCTTACCGTTTTTAACATCCGGAGAAGAGTACTTCTTTGCTTTCTTTCTAAAGAAACAAATGCCGGTAATTATAATTCCTAATACAGCAATTGGCACAATGACTGCAACCACTATTTTCTTTGTTGATGCTTTCTTTTCTGCAGATTGAGAAGTATAGTATATAAAAATCGTCAGTAATTTAAATTCACTTGGTTTAACATGGCAATCAAAGCTTTAAAATAGTTGAAAAATATTACTTCCTCATTTTCTGAAAATTTGGAATAATTTGACTTTTACACGCACCAGCCATATACTTCCTGAGTGTCTTGTTGATCATGTATTGACTTTTATTTAATGGACAAACTTTTAGCATATATTCACATTAATTAATAGGAGTATATAAAAATATAATCATATAAGATATTGTTATATACGTCTTAATGTGTGATTTTAAAATATTAATTTTGTTAAATTTTTATTACATAATTATAAATATTAATGGTTAACAGTAAATCTTGACCACCATGCAAAGTCAAAACAAGAATAGCAAAATGAAATGGAGGATGTACTAATCCTTGCAAGATTAAAAGTAGTTATTATCATATAAAATATTTTAAATAATTATTAATTAATCAAAAGTTTCATAATATTAACTACTTCGTCCCTTAAAAAAACTACTTCGTCCCTCTTTGTGTAGCCCATTTTTCTTTTGAAACTCTCCTTAAAGATTGTTTTATACTACAAATGTACATAAGGACTATCACTTTAATTTAGGTGTCCTATCTACCACAATTCCTTTTCATTAATTTTACTTAACTAAAACTTAGGAAAGTAAAGTATGTCTATGTGGGGTAAACAATTGGGTGGATGACCTGGGTACGTGGATGGGTGGGGGGTAGGGGTGGGAGGAGGAAAGAGGAAAGAGGAAAGAGGGAATCGAAAGAGTATTAATGCATGGTCAACTAATGCATTCTTTTTTCTTTTTTTCTTTGGCAATTTGGTCAACTGATGCATTGACAAGTGTGTTAAGTTTAACTATATCAGTTATTTTGAATCAAAAGGAGTAGATCATAATGAACCATAGGTGCATAATAAGCCCTACACTACTACAAACGGTCTAACTAGTTAGCCTGTGTAAAATAAAAGAACTAAGTACCTCGATTTTTTGTCACTGTACTTGTTGGGGGAGGAGCCATGCTTCTTGTTGAATTTGAAGTATGGGTAAACTGATAAGCCTCGTACCTAAGAGTACAACTAGGCATCAGCATTATTCCTCCCACGCGATTAGTTTCATTAAGTTGAGATCTAGCTGTACTGAAGCACTTGGTGCAATTCTCCGTTGATAAGTCGGGAGTACATTGAGCCATAGTGAACACATTCGTAGTCATAGGTGAATACCATACCTCAGTCATGTCGTACATCTTACTAGACGTACTAGAAGCTGCGTTCGTTGTTATCTCATCCAATGAATTCTTGATCAACGTAATCCAATCTTGTACTTGGTTTGTGACTTTATTTTCATTGAATAATGCTTGCGAAGGTTGTTCTTGTAAAAGAGAGAAAAAAGATTGGTTAGAGTATTGAATCATGCAAGGTTCCTTCCATAATATTGCTTGTGTCGCCCTTGGACAAAAACTTTTTATTTGGTTGCTTGCCATTTGAATGCATTCATGACACTCGTTGGGATACAAGTCACCCCGACACAAGGCAAGGCCGTAAACGGGATCTTGATTGTCTTGACCTTGCTTGTGCTTAAGCAAACCATTTTTGGCACTCGAAACTCGAGATACCAAACTGGACAAGAGTTGATTGAAATTGGTTTCGAACGTGCTATTAAGATCGTACAATGACGAGTTATAGCAATTGGACATATTAAAGTTTATGGTTATTGGAAAAGAAGCAGTAGAGGTACCAAGCAAAGATAGTAGCATAAACAAGATGAGCAACATGGTGATGAGTTGAAAAAAAAAACATTGAATCATCATAAATTATATTGTTGTAGGATATTTCCAATCTATCGACGTTGAATTTTCAAAGTAAGCGTGCTAGCGCTAGTGAATGACCTTTCTTGCGCCAACCAGCAAGTTTGTGGTGGGCCGTAGAGCTGATCGAAAGTGCGGTCCTACTTCTGGCAATTTGGCATAATGTCTAAAAGTTAAAAAAAAAAACTGTCATTGACGAAGTCGTCATCAATATTCTCTATATACTTCTTTTTTTATTTTTAATCACAAATGTTAGGAATTTTACACTATTTATATATATTCTGTTAATTGTCTCAAGTTATTTATACGTGGGAAAAAAATATAGTCGTGCGATATTTTATTAAATTCGTTGCATATAGTCGTGTGATATTTTATTAGATTCACTGCAATATACACTTTATTAATAGTAACTTAATATAATTTTACTACAGTAGAACTTTAGAAATATAAGTTAGGAAAAATTGTACCAAATAATACGACCTTTGCTCCGTCCGCTAAAAACAAGTTCACCTTTTGTTTATTGCAGAATAATACGACCTTTAGGGGTACTCCGCTTTAAACAGGTTAAAAAACTGGCAACCTACAACTAATAAGTCAGCAGGTTAAAAAAAATTGGTTGACCACCATTTCCCTCCCAAATTGCACAGGTGGCAATTAATGGCTCCAACTAGCCAAACTTGAATGCTCTAAGTGTCGTTCCATTGCGCCATAATTGAAGCGGACAACAGAAGACAACAGAAGCTAATTGGGGAAGACAACATAAGCTATTGCGCCGGAAAACACCCTGACGTTGGTTAATTGCGTCAGAATTCGCCTGGAGTTGCTTAATTTAAGGTACGAACTTACCACTGTTGATGTTTTGTTTCCAATTTTTCTGGGTTTTGTGGAATTATTCAATTACGCATGTTAATTTAAATGTGTGAAAGTAATTTGTGTTTGATTATGTGTGAAAGTAATTTGTGTTTGATTATGCTTGTTGTATCATTATTTGGTTGCGTCGAAGGTGTTTGCTTTGTTGTAGTTCAACTGTAATTGGATAGGTGAATTTAGGTGTTTTGGGGTTTTCGTTGATGCGATTTAATTTTGCTCTGTGTGTGTGATGTTGTTGGTTACTGTGGTTGATCATAGGTGACAATGAGCAAGAATAGCTTATTTGAGAATGTGAGTTTGAGGTATTGGCATGGAGGCAACTTTAAAATTGTTGGTAATGGAGAGTTAGTGTATATGGGTGGTAAAGGAAGGACATTTCAGGTTTCTCCTGATGAATTATGTTATTGGGAGCTACTTGAATTGGGAACGAAATGTGGGGATTATATTGACATTGTTGGCCTATATTATTTAGTTCATGAGAAGTCTTTAGCAGATGGGTTAAGAAAGATAGCAGGGGATGCAGAAGTATTAGAAATGGGAGAGATAGTGATGAAGCATAGGAGTATTGATGTGTACGTGTTGCATAGTGATAAAGAGCCACAAGTATCAGCAGAAAATCCTAGTACTTCTATTAGCCAATCAAGCTCAGAACACATCACCAGACCAATTTCAGAAAATATCCCACCTCCCAAACCAACTAGACCTAAAAAATTAACTCCCAAAAAGGGTCCACAGTCACTCAAGTTGGGCCCACCTAGAAGAAGCCCTAGAAAACACATGGCATCCAATGTAACATCATCTTCTTCTTTGGCTGGTCCTACTTTAACCAAAAAAGTTGGCTCAAAAGCATCTTCTTCATCCTTTGCTGATAAAAACACTTTGACCCAACCATCAAACCCTATTTCCAACTTAGAACCTCCACAACAAACCCTCAACCAAGAACCAGCAAATCCTTCACATGGTTGTGGTGAGAACACAAATTCAGGCCCTGAGTATGATTGGGAAGACAACAGGCCAGAAAGTCCACTGACCATACAGGAACTATGTGTGGTTTTAGTATTGATGATGAGGATGAATCAGATCCTGAGTTTGTGCCTGATGAGGAGGATGAAGAGGAAGGAATTGATGTTGAGCTGGAGGTAGAAGATGATGACTTTGAGGTTGATGAGGGTCTTGACATGATTGATTTGGTCACTGGTGAGTCAGACAACAGTGATGAGGAGGTTGAACAAGCTAGACAGAGAGTTCAAAGTTGCAACAAAAAGATCCTTGAAATAGCAAGCCAACTTCGAAGAGAGGTATGTGAAGGGAGATTTGGAGGTCTAAAAACAGTAGAGGGTGGGCAACAAAGAGCTGCTGAAACAAGTGGTGCTGCTGAAACATCTGCTCCTGGTGACACAGCTGGTGCTGGTGACACATCTGGTGCTGGTGGTTATTACAGTGAGTATGAAAACAGTGAAGATGAGATTCACACCCCTGAGAATAGTGATGATGAAAATGCTGGAGCAAGAAGGAAGGGAAAGAGAGGTATGATTGTGAGTGGTGGGACTGATTTTTCTAGATTCACTTGGGTAGTAGGTCAGAGATTTGCCAATAGGAGTGAGTTTAAACAGGCTGTTGCTAGGTATGCAATTATGCAGGGCAGGGATTTGAGCTTTTTTATGAGTAACAAGAACAGGCAGCAGCATGTAGGAGTAAGATGTGTAGAAGAGTGTCCTTTTTTTCTGTATGGTGCATGGCATTCAAGAAATGCTACATTCTTGGTGAAGATAGTGGATGGCAGTCACACATGTCATAGGAGTATGAAAAAAAAACAGACAATTCAAATCAACTTGGGCTGTTAGAGAAATGTTGGAGATTTTTAAAGCTAGGCCTCACTGGCCAGCTAAGGAAATAATTGAAGCTATTAGGAGAGTTTATAATATTGTGGTGAGTAGGGACTTTGCATACAAAGTCAAATTTCATGCACATAGAATTCTCCATGGCTCCATGAGGGAGCACTATATGAAAGTTGAGAGGTATATCCAAGTTGTGAAGGATTCTAGCCCTGGAACAAGTATTGAGTTGGTGGTGGATACTTCCAAGCAGAAAAATCCACCTGTTTTCCAGAGACTCTACACCTGTTTTGAAGGAGTAAATCAGGGTTGGAAGGAAGGCTGCAGAAAAGTCATATGCGTAGATGCTGCTTTCTTAAAGACCTTTCTTGGTGGCCAAATTCTAAGTGCAGTTGGCAGAGATCCTAATGAACAGATGTACCCAATAGCATGGGCTGCAGCAGAAGGTGAAAACAACTCATCTTGGACATGGTTCATCACCCAATTGCAAAGTGATTTGGAGCTAGGTGATGGCACTGGGGTTGCAGTTATATCAGATGAGCACCCGGTAAACACTAAACCATACTTGCTTTTGTTTGATATTCTGTATGGTTATAAGAAGTTCTTGGTGGCCAAAATTTTCACCTTATGTATGCACTAGTTCAGTAGTGTTGATTGGTGTGTTTAAGTATGCATTTTTTGTTTTTGGTTTTACAAGGCTATTGTACATGTTGTTGCTGCTGTCCTACCAAATGCTGAACATCGTCACTGTGCTAGACACATTTTTTCACTGTGGCATAAATCCTTTAGAGGAGATGAAATGAAACTACATTTCTGGAAAATTGCTAAATCCTACAACTTGGCAGATTATAATGAGTGTTTAGAGGAGTTGAGAGAGTTAAATCCAGATGCAGCCATAGCTTTCACTTCATATAACCCAAGACTATTCTGTAGAGCTTACTTGAATTCTGAAATTAAGATAGATGCAATCACATCTAACATGGCTGAAACATTCAACTCATACATTATTAATGCCAGAACCAAGCATTTGATATATATGTTAGAGGACATCAGAGTGGCTTTGATGCAGAGGTTAGTGACTAAAAGACAAGAAATGCAGAAGTCAACCTCTGTTCTTTGTCCTAGAATCCATGCCATGTTAGAAAAGGAAAAAAGTAAGGCTGCATTGTGTGATGTTTTACCTTCTTCAGATACAGAGTTCAATGTGAAGTATTTCCTTGATCAACTCAAGGTAGATTTAGAGGCCAGAAAGTGCACATGTAGGAAATGGGACATGTTAGGGGTTCCATGTTGTCATGCCATAACATGTATATTCTTTAAGAACAAGGATGCTGAAACTTTTGTGGATGATTGTTATAAAAAGGATGTATACTTGAGGGTTTATGGTGGTTTTATCCCTCCATGTGAAGGAGAGAGGCATTGGCCTAAGATACCCTGCAACTTAGACCCCCCTGCCATCAAAATAGGTCCTGGCAGACCTAGAAAAAATAGGATCAAAGATCCTTATGAGAACCCAAAAAAGCCAGGCTCTTTGTTAAGAACTGGACTTGAAATGACATGTAGTCTCTGCAACATTAGAGGCCACAACAAGAGGAGATGTCCAGACAAAGACAACTTTGTTCACTCAGAGCCAGCAGCAAAGAGGGGAAGAGGCAGGCCAAGGAAAGAATGGTCTGCAGCAAGGTCTTCTGATCAGCAGGTAGTTGACCCCACCTATGCATCAACTTCTTCTGCAGGTGTTCAACACCATTCCACCATTGCACAGCCAAGTCAATTAGGCAGGGGTGGAAGGGTAATTTACAGTGGTAGGGGTGCTAGAGGTGCAGCTAGAGGTGGTGCTAGAGGTGGTGCTACATCTGGTGCTACAAGTGGTGCTACATCTGGTGCTAGAGGTGGTGCTGTTAGGGGAACCAGAGGAGGAAGGGGGAGAGGCAGAGCAGGGGTTGGTGTGTTGTTCAGTGCTGATGGTACCCCAATACTACAAGTAAGGTTCATTTGCTTCTGTTTTGTGGTATCTGTTTTCTTTAGCTAAGCTATATGCTAAGTAAATGTTTTAAAATTCTGTTTCAAGCCCTCCTTTACAAGGAATAGAGCAAGGATACATGAGGCACACATATCCACACAGTCAAGCCAAACCTCTACAGTGCATCAACAACATCCATGACACCTTGGGTTCATAATTCTGTTATTTTGTGACACTATCATTAGCACTAAGTATTTTGAACAACAATGTAGTGAATATTGCTTTGTCTTTTGAACAATGTAGCATGTGTAAGCTAAGTATTTTGAACAATCTTGGTTTATGCCAACCCATATGCTTATGTTATGTAATTATCAGACAGTATGATTAGCACTAAGCAATTAGTACTGTATTATTATCAACTTTGTTATGAAATTAGCTCTGTTAAGCTCTGTATTATTATTGCAACTGCAAAACATAACAACTACAAATACAGTGCAACAAATGACAAAATCAAGTTCCTAAATCTTAATTGTTAAATTACAACTCCACCTAAACTCCACTTAAAATTTTAGATAAAACAACACTACAGCAAAGAAAATCCAAGAAAAAACCAAAGCCATGGATAAATTCTTCTCGCTCCTGGAACAATTCATCATCTCTACACGCATCGCATACACTTCGCTCTTCATTTCCTGAACATCCTCTTCTAAGTTATCCTTCTTCAACTGTAACCTCTTGATTTTATCATCTCTGCATTGTTGCTCATACTCTAACTCGCAAATTCTTGTTTCCTTCTCCAAAACATGATATTGAAGATATTCCATGGGGTTGCTCTGATTAACCCACCTAAACATTTCACTTTTGGTGTCCTACAGTAATACAATTTTCAATTAAGAACCTAAGAATCTCAATTAACTCAACATCGAAAAAAGTGAAAGGAATTTGTAATTGATAACAAACCGGCCATAAGGGACAGCCGTAGAACTTCATCCCACTGTTTGGACCCTTCTTTACAGATCTCACCACCGCATAATTGCCACAACTGCAGCGGACTTTTTGGTTTTCCTCGTACGCAAAGCTTGAAGAAGAACCACTGGATGATTGCCTTTTCCTGGCCATTTAATTGCAATTTTAAGAAGAACCACGCTTTCATGGAGAAAAATGCGAACAACAGATACAGAGGTATAAATAGAAGAAGGTAAGGGAAAGAGGAAGACACGTCACCAGTTAACCTGCATTAACCGGTTACAAATTTTTTTAACCTATTTAAAGCGGAGTACCCCTAAAGGTCGTATTATTCTGCAATAAACAAAAGGTGAACTTGTTTTTAGCGGACGGAGCAAAGGTCGTATTATTTGGTGCAATTTTTCCTATAAGTTATAGTATGTGCATTAAATAGACATAAAACCCTCAATACTGCGAATAAAAAAAACGAAGAAAGATACTTCATAGTATTCTAGTACTAAATACCCTTTAAAATTGATACATATAGTACTAATTGCATAAACCAACAAAATAAATTAAAGGGTATTTTGATTTTTACCACCTTCAAATAACCACTTAATTGAATTACCACCTCCAAAAAAAAAAATTTACTTTACCACCACCAAAATTTCCAAAAAATCGATTTTACCACCAACTACCAGATTCCGTCCATGAATCCGTTAGTAGGGCCCACATTTTTGACGTTTCTTCTTCATCTTCCCCGATCTTCCATGTCAACCAACCAGCAACGAAATCAACTACCTCGGTTGGTCGGAATTTCGTGTGGGTTTCGCGTCTGGGTGGTGGTGGTTTCGAGTCGCGATGGTTTCGCGTCTGGCTGGCGTGGTTTCTGGTGGGTGGTGGTGGTTTTGAGTCGGGGTGGTTTCGCGTCTAGGTGGCGGTTGTTTCTGGTCTGGGTTTGGATGGTGGTGGGGTTGGTCGTAGCTGTTAGGTGGTGGCTAGGGTTTTGAGGTCGGAAATTGGTGGAAAGGGGTAGAAATCGGTGCGGCTGTGGTGTGCGGTGCGGTGGTAGCGATTAGGTGGTGGGTTGGTCGTAGCTATTAGGTGTTGACTAGGGTTTTGAGGTCGGAAATTGGTGGAAAGGGGGTCGAAATCGGCGCGGCTGTGGTGTGCGGTGCGGTGGTAGCGGTTAGGTGGTGGGGTTGGTTGTAGCTGTTAGGTGGTGGCTAGGGTTTTGAGGTCGAAATCGGTGTGGTGGCTGTGGGTCCCGACGGTGGCTGGTAGCGGTTAGGTGGTGGGGGCTGGTTGTAACGGTTAGGTGGTGGGGCTGGTTGTAGCCGGTCCGGCGGTGGGGGTCCCGACGGTGGCAGCAACCATCGGTTGCTTGATGGGGATTTTTTATTTTTTATTTTGTTTTTTTATTTATTTTTTTAAAACTTAACCAATAATATGGCGACACGTGTGCAAAGTAGGCCCCACTAACGGATTTTTGGACGGAATCCGTTAGTTGGAGGTGATTGGTGGTAAAACTGATGTTTAATTTTTTTATGAGGTGGTAAAGTAAATCTTTTTTTTTTGGAGGTGGTAAATTCAATTAAGTGGTTATTTGAAGGTGGTAAAAATCAAAATACCCTAAATTAAATACCCATTTTCATTATTGTCTTCGTTAGAAAACAAAATATAGTACTAATTGCATAATCTATCACATTATTCTCAGTGTATATCACACATGTTTTTACACTTGCTTTTTGCATATTAGAATCTGTCAAAAATATAAGATAGATACAACCACTTAATAATGGGATAGACTAATACAGGGAGTATTTCGTAAATTCTAAAAAAGTCTTACTTTCCGTCTTAGATTAGTTTTTACACTATCTTTTTAATGTCAAATTTGTTTTAAGATAATATAAAGAGCCAAAGTGGTAGGGACATATTAGTTGTAAGAAAAATTGAAAAGACAATGCTTCCCACCTCGTCTATAATTGTTTGCTCCATTGTCAATTTTTACTTTATTAACTTTTAGTTCAATGAAACTGTTAGGAGAAATGGAAGGGTCTAATGCCTTTATAGTTTTATGTGAATGTAAAGTTGTGATTCCGTGATGAAATATAAATCCATACTTATATATTAAAGTAATCTTCGTAATTATTCCCTAAGTAAACGCATCGTTGCTTTATAAAAAATTTCCCACCAAAAATTTTATTACTATTTTTTATTTTGTTTTTTTTTTCTTTCTTTTTGTCATTGAAAGAAATTTGTTACCATATTTTAGGAAAAAGTTTTGGTCTTATATCTAGGGAATGATGCCCAACAATAATAATTTAAATAATTTGAAAAAATAGTGGTAAAGAAGAAGAAATATTATGTAATTTTATTAAATACTACTTATTAGGATATTATCAAAAAGTGTTATTATTATTTTATTTTGTTGCTATCAACAAGAATAACATATATAGTGGGATACCTTTTAATTAAGAACTATAGTATGCTTTCATATTACGAATACTAAAATATTATTACTTTTTCCATCTCACATTAATTAGAAAAATATCCGATTAATCTGCTTGATAAACATTCAAGGGGTAAATTGGTCATTTCATCAACAAAATGAAGGCTAATTTTGTCATTCTTTCCATCTTCCTCGTTCCGTCAATTTTCCATCCATCTGTTGTTATCTACTTCCTCCTCTTCCACTTACCTTCATCTTCTTCTTCCTCCTTCACCCACCCGTCATCTTTTTCAATTCCCAACACCACCATTTCGGACATGGGCACACGGACACCTTCATCTTCTTTGTCTCCACCGATACCAACTCCACTATTTCCATCAGCTTTGCCGCCATTTAAACGAAAACCCTAAGTAAAGGGGGAGAAAGACATGGCCTGGTTAACCCTTAAGGATAGGTGAGTTTAATTTCCTTCTACTTGTGAGCTTTCTCTATTAATGGTGAAGCAAGAAATTTGCCATCCATTTTTACCATTACTTCAGCTTAATGGTAAGAAATAGTAGCCAAATGTCATTTTCATGCAAGTGGCTAAAAGTAAAAGTAGAGCTAGCAAATAAATCATTAAAATATTGAACAATGCTCATTTTATTTACCAATTTGCAATCGAAATTAACAAAATTTGTTGATATTGGTGATCAACTTGGATTTTCTCCATTAATTATACTATAAAATTAGACATTGAGATTAATCTTATGGTATATGAGTATATCACAATGTTTATTGTACTTTATTTTCTTAATATGTTTTTACTTACAATGATTTTGTTTTGTACAGTTCCAAATAAACGACTAATGAAATACTAATGAAAAAACGTGCATAGCACGGGTTTTGAACTAGTGAGGCAATATTTTACACCTTTTTATATGATATATGGGCAAATAATAAGAGATAAAAGAGTTATATATTAATTGATACTTCCACTGTTTATTCAAAATAAAAGTCTCATTTGACTTGTACATTATTCACATAATCTAATTTGACGAGTTACTGTTTTGTATATATATATATACACACACATGTGAGAACCTAGGTGAATAATAGGAACTAGGAACCAATCTCAGCCTTTAATCACGCTCCATCTAACGGCTCACGTTTCACCCGCATTCATTAATGAAATTTTCGTAATTTCATGGCTTCTCAAACTTCGTTTTCCAATTTTTTAACTTTTAAGGAAATTTCATTTACTTTATGACCGATTTCATTGACTTTTACTAACTTTTCATTTATTTACTTTTTAGAAATAAAATTGGAAATCACTTGTAAAGTTGAAATATTACAAAAATGCCAATAATGACACGGGAAGTGTTTGGGGTAAAATTACCCCAGCCACGTGGCCCAATGGCTGAGCGACACGTGGCACCTTGCTATTGGTCAGCAGGGCTCCAATCCCCTGCTGACACGTGTCCTAGGAACCCTAAATGGGGAACCAATGCTCCCCACTATAAATAGTGGGGGAGCCCTCATTAATGGGGACAGATTATTCAATACACTTGCATTGAATACAATCATAAATACACTTATACAAAAAACCGAGCAATCTTAATTGCGGAATTCTCCCCTTACGCGAGAAGTAATTATACGCTTTACGCACTTTCTTCCTCACATACATCACTGA